CGACTAAGTATCAGTAATAATTTAATACACATTTCAAAACTTCAAGTAAACTTAACTTCCCAATTTGACACCTTTTGTTAAATGAGTAATATTATATATAGCAAGATGCTTTGGGTGATGTTTAAAATGTGTAAAGAAAGATTGTTAATAAAAGGAAAAATACTGGGATCTATCAGTTTTGTTCTTGTTAACCAACAGTGACAGTACTCTTTTGAGGTGTAAGTGATGGTCAACGTTGATCAGTCCTTCAAAATAAAATACATGTAATACCATAAGGAGTGGAATGAAGGCTAGCTAGAAGGTTGGTGAAATAAGCACTGAAAAAAAGAGACTTAAGTGACGATTTAAATGTGAGGGAATAATATTTATATATTTAAATTTGAAAATGTTCTTTTTTGTTTCTTGCGTTAGGCGGGAAAAAGTGCCGGAGACGAGAGTGACAGATTGAAAGCCTCCGTTCACCAGATGCGTACGAGTCAGATAGAGCTTGGGGTCAGTCTCGCAATGACAATGATAATCAGACTGGGAACGACTTCAGAGGAAGGAGGAACAAGATAGATGAAGAGGGAGGAAGAAGAAAGGAGGCGGAGAGAGGAGGAGGAGAATAGACGGAACAACAGGACAGAGAGAACAAAACCGACTTATGAAATCGGACTCTGACCAGGAAGCAAAAACTGCTCGATTTTAAAGAACATTATAGAATTGAGAAAGAGTATTGATAAATAATAATCTTTTATGATATTCTGTAAAATGTCATCGCTAAGTCTGCTCTCTCAGCTTAATAGGGAGGAGCATAGTATAGGTAATAAAATCCAGGGGTCACTGGTTTGATCCTTGGGAACCGAGTTATAGGCATTTGAGCGTCACGACAAAAAACATAATGGGTTTGGCACCCAGCATGGATTCAGACCAGCCTTGCACACCCGCAGTCTGATCAGGATCCATGCTGTTCGCTATCTGTTTCTCTACTTGTTATAGGGTTTGTTAACGACAGCATGGATCCTGATCAGACTGCGCGGCATGCGCAGCTGGTCTGGATCCATTGCTGGTCGCAAACCCATTATGTTGTGGTTTTGTCGTGACGCGGCTCATTTGTCTCTAACTTTTATTCAGAAATCATATTGGGGTTAGTTAAAGTCAAACTTACCTTGTGCAAAACTATTGTTATATAGTGTGGTCACATTTAATAATTTCACAACAGTTAAATCTTACTCTTTACTATCTTAATATAAATAAGGGTCGTAAATTCTCTTGTATCCATAAAATTCGAAAACGTAGTTTTTTTCTTTTTAGATATTTTAAGGTAGTTTGTTGTTCATGAAATAACCGGTAGTCATTTTGAAAGCACTAAACTTCAGGCCAATAAAACTTGAAGACCATTAATTTTGAAAGACAGACAAACGGATCTTTTGAAAGATTTTGAAAAAAAAAAAAGATAAATAAACAAGTGAAATGTGTATTTAAAGATTAAATATTTAAACTATACTTTAGTCAGACAGACCTTTGATGAGCATTTACTGAGTGGTTGAAAACTTGACTGTTGTTTTATATAGAACGGAAAGAGGGTATTTGTTGACTTTTATATAGGAGTAATGACTTGCTGACGAAGAACGTATTTGAATTTTAAATAATATATGACACCCATTAGGCAGACCTGTATAAAACAAACAAGACCAAAAGACTTTTTGACTGCATGTTTGTTTATTTCAGTCTGGGAATTATACAATGCTGTATTAAGTTCTTTAATGGTGCAAAAAAAAAAATCTTTAAGTTCAGTATTTACTTTGTTTAAAATTAGAAATAGTAAATTTAAAGGTATTTTTTTATAATAGTGAATATAAGTTGTATGTAATGTACGTACTGTCAGTTATTTTACATTTTTATTTCGAGCTTATTTTAAAGAAGTTGAAGAACAAATACATGTACATGTATTTATGTAAAAAGAACAAATGCATATTCAGTATATATGTAAAACAACTGGGAAATTTTCATTTATAAGTAAGCTGACGATCAAAGTTTTTAATACTGTAAACTATATCTTTTTTGTGTTATCTTTAATTTTGTGATCGTAGGTGTTCATAAAAATATTAAATTTAATGAAACCATTATGTTACATTCAGTGTTAAAAATTGGTTTACACTCAGTTTGGTGAAAATGAAAACAAATGATCACAGATAAAGGCCCTGTCACACCAGACTGCGCTTTCACTGCGTTTGCTAGGCGTTGTAAAATTTAACAAATGCGCGAGATCGCAATAAAAAATGTTATATTTCTGTTGACATAAAGACTTCACGGCGTCCCCACGGCGATCATGGCGATGTAATGGAGCTTTCACTGCGTTCTTTGCCCTTTCACTGCGCATTTACAGAGCTCCAGATAGCGTGCGTATAAGCGTAAAATACGCATAGAAAATCTTAAATACGCATCACTTTCAAAATTCGTGCGTCACAGTTACGCACAACAAAATGAAAATACGCTCGAATGTCAAAATTTATGCGTAAAAGAATAGAAGTGTAAACATTTGATATGTAGAAAGAAAATGTTTTGAGCATAAAATACAATATATTTCCATTTAATTGCATTGAAAACTAAAAATTCTGTTGTCAACAACGCATGTTAAAAACGAAAGTAGCAGGAAATACAGAAGGGAGGTAACTCCCGTATAATCATCGTAGGAGTATTAAGTTTGTTTAGGCATCTATTGACATACTTATGCCTCAATATAAACAAAAATATATTTTAATTTCTTTAACTTTAGTTGTTGGAACAAAATAACATGTTATTCACCTGCAGTTTTGTACTCAATATTTTCGTACCCAGTCTACAGTTACGGACAATTTTCTCTCAGACCAATAATTTTTTTAAGGAAAGATAAAAAAATCTTGTTTATGTTTCTTTAATTCTAATTTCAACTATAATTGTTCAAACTGGAGTACATGATAAGGTACATGCCAACAAAAATAAAGAAAGAAAAATATTGACTCCTAGAAAATAAAATAACTTGAGGGCTTCCACTAGTGGAAGTTTGGGAGTCTTTTACTCCTTCAATTGGCTGTGACTTCCAAAAATCAATACTTTCCTTCTTTACCTATATAATGTGACTTCCAATATCAGAGATTTTGAAGTCTTTGACTTCCAAATTTTGAAAATGGAAGTCCTGATAATTTTGCTGTGTATCCTAAACTTGAGTTCCAGTATACTCTGGAAGTCTGACTTTACATGGCATGTTTTGTATTGTTTCACATTAAATCAGTATTTAATTTGTAAAGGTTTTTTCTAAAAAAAAGAAAATAAACAAACAAACAAACACAACAATAAGTTTAATTTGTTTATAAAAAATGCAAAATGCTTTTTTGACAGATTTTACGCCTTAAGTTTTTCAGAATTTGCATTTTACCCCTCACTCTAAATTTTGAGGGGTAAAAACCCCTTGGCCAAAAAAATTATCTGGAGCTCTGCATTTATGGCGCTCATACTGCGTTCTCGCGGCATTCACACTGCCCTGAAATCGTAAAGCTCTGTAAAAGCGCAGGGCACACGCAGTATAAGCGCGGTAAAAAGCCGCATAAACACCGTACAAGCGCCGTGGATAACCACTGCGTTCATTCGGCGTTCCTTTTGCGCTTTCACAGCGCTCCTCTTGCGTTGTAGGAGATGCTACGGAGCTGCTACGGCGTCCTATCTGTGATGCCACTGCGCTCATTTTAGAATGCCAAGTGACGGCGTTTGTTTTGAACATGCTCAAAATGCGCGTCGTCGGTCGACGTTCTATGCGATGCTGCGGCGATGTTTGCGATCTTACTGCGCTCACCTCGGCGTTCTGAAGTTTCACTGGACGCCGTGAGAACGCCGTCCTAGTGTGACAGGGGTTTAACATGTATTTTTGTTAAATTGATATGATAAAAAAGGGTAAAATTTTTATTATTATTTATATCTATAGAAACAGTGCTTTTTATATTTTTTTACCTGAAGCAAATGTTGAGAACACTTGAAAATACATTACTCTCTCAATATTTAATCTATTTGAACTTAAAGTGTGAAGAAATTTTTTTTTAAAGATAAATAATTTTTTAAAATACATGCTTCATTACAAACATCCCATAATCTACAGTAAATATTAAAACAGAACTTTGTTTACATACACTAGGTAATGATAGCAAAGGGCAAATCAATTATAGATCTTTTGAGTGTTTAAAACACTTTAAAACTTTCCTCAAATATTTGTGACAGAAAATCATATATATATATATATATATATATATAAGTATATGGAACGCTTGAAGATCAATGTTGCCAAAGAAACTTTCAATACTTTCAGTTTTCCGATTTTTTTAGCTTAGCCGAGCAAGATGAGCACATTGTGCTCACAGCCATAGGTAATTTTAAGCTTTCATAAATGTCCTGATATCCTTTATCTGTCAAAAAGGGAATTTCTTGCCTACAAATTTTTTTACAGGTTCAAATTAAAGGTTTTTCAAATCCACCTATTAAAAAAATAATGGCATCATGATATGAAATATTTCTACAATTCAAAAAAGGGTCCATTTAATTCTCAATACTTAGAAACTCTCAGTTAAGCATGTCATTTCTTACATTTTTTAGTATTTTTGTCTGACTTTTACATATCTCCTTTAGAACCCACACAAATAATAAAACATGGACTGTGTGACTTATAAAGACCTAAAGCTAATTCAATTGTAGACTTTGTCACTCATAAAGAACTAAGGACAGTGTCACTCGTTAAGAACTACACACAAAGAAATTAAATAAGCTAATTAAAATATAAATTGTGTTGCTGGTAAATAGCATAAAATGATAGAAATGATGTCGCTTTTAATTTGTTATATTTGTATGAACAGTTTTTGACAAAGGGAGATAATGAACCAGTTAGAGAAATGACTCTGCCTATAATTCCAAAGGAAACCAGCAATGTTGTGAAAAATGTTCCCATCACATCAAAGGAAAATAGCAACATTTCAAAAAATGTAAAAAAAACAACTACACAGGAGTTTTTGTGAAAATAATGAAAATCAGACAATTGAGTGTATACATTGTAAAAATTTTTAATTTTATTACAATTGTTAGATTGAATCTGACATTCTTTTGTTAAATTCTTTTTTGGAGAAAATAAGTTTTTTAATGTTAATTCTACGATATGATATTGTTTAAACCCGAAAGCTGCGGATCACTCTACTTGAAAATTAATCTTGATGTCTGGTATCGATCAATAAATAGATTCTAGAAATTTTACTGACCATATGTGATTCATGTACATGTATATCTTTATATCTATATTAATAATCTATACTGTTATCTACAAAATAATTAATGTAAAAGTATAGAAAAAAAGAGAAGAAAATAGTCTTCTTTGAAAGAAATTTTTTTTTTTTTTGCAATACTGAAGTCAACATTATAATTTGTCTGATTTTCATTCTGTTTTCACTTGGAATTGCTTGATTGGTTTACAGTTGCATTTTTCATTCACAGTTTCTTAGCTCATCTGGCACAAAGTTCTAGAATGAGCTATTAGGATCGCGACTGTTCGTTGAATGTTGCCCTTTTATCAAATGGCATCTTTCTGACTGGTCCACTGATGGAAGAGAATGGATGAATCATTTTATTAAGATTTGAGTAATTCAGTCTTATTTAAGGCTAGATTGATACTGTTGGCAATTTTTGTACTTTGATATTGAAATCCTTTAAATTTTATATGGACTGTTCCAAATTCAAAGCAGGTCAAATCCATTTCAAAATGAGCAGGTTAAAGGATATACCTAAACTTTACCTTTTCTTGTTGTCATGGTTGAAAAGGCAAAACATGAATTCTTTCCCTATGTAGCAGAGTCTTCATTAAATATTCACATAAATATAGCTTATTTCTTTGTCAATGTAAAGTCCCTAAAATCAAAAATGAATGGTTTTTACTTTAACTGATATTAGTACATGTAGTTAGTCCGACTTGCAGAGAAAGTGGTAATTATTGGGTTAGTTAACCAGGGAAAAAGTAAGGTTAATCAACCACTGATAATTATATGCCCAGAAATATTTTGAAATAAGCTTATAAACCAAGCACTCAACCATCTAGGTGAGCGATAAAAGGGTTACCATTGCCCTTCATGATTTTCAGACATTTTCTTGTTTGCAAAGAGGCTTTTGCAGAATTTGTTCTGTTCTGTATTATTCTAATCAGACTACATTTTGTCTAAGAAAAACTGATTGTACATTTTGATGTTGATCAAAGATTGTTGTGGCCTGCAATATTTTTTTGCCTTTTTAGCTCGACTTTTCTATGAAAAGGGGAGCTATCCTACTCGCCCCGGCGTCGGCGTCGGCGTTGGCGTCACACCTTGGTTAAGTTTTTCGTACCACCCCACTTTATTTCAGAAGTATTACAAGTATGGCTTTGAAACTTACCATACTTGTTCACCATCATAACCTCCATCTACAGACAAGAGTACATAACTCTGTCAAGGTTTTTGACAGAATTATGGCCCTTTTTTGACTTAGAAAGTGTATTGAGCTTGGTTAAGTTTTTTGTACCACCTCACTTTATTTCAAAACCATTGGAGGTATTGCTTTGAAACTGACCATACTTGTTTACCATCACGACCTTCATCAACAGACAAGAGGACATAACTCTGTCAAGGTTTTTGACAGAATTATGCACCTTTTTGACTTAGAAAATACATTGAATATGGGTAAAATCCACTTATTGCCTTAACCCTTTGAGATATTGCTTTGAAACTTTTAATGCTATTTCACATCATTACCCCCATCTGTACGCAAGAGAAGGTAACTCTGTCAAGGATTTGTTTTAAAAATTAAGGCCTTTTATCGACTTAGAATCTTGGTTAAGTTTTTAGTACCAGTCCACTTTTTGACTGAACTGTTTGAGATATTAATTTGAAAGTTGGAATACTTGTTTACAATCATGATTCCCAAACATGTCCAGGAGAAGGTAATTCTGTCAAAGATTTTATTTGAATTATGGCCCTTAACTGTCAATGTTTTGTATTATAGGCAAGCACTAAAAAACTTAAAAAATCTAAAAAAATTCATTCCTATCCACTTGTTCACTTTACCATAAATTAATGCTCATGGCCATTGTTCACTTTAAAAATACAGAGATTCTTGTATTGCCTTTTACTGCAAAAACTTTTTTTATTGGCAAGCAATAAAAAAGTCGAGCGCGCTGTCTTACGGACAGCTCTTGTTGTACATGACCTGGTATGATGATGGAGCCTCTGTGGTTAAGGTTGCTGATATTGAACCACATGCCCCTCACTGATGTTGGGTTTGAATCCCGCTAGGGACTTTGGATTCTTTCATGTGTGGAAGCTACGTATCCACCCAGCTTACAGGTCTGTGGTTTACTTGCGTGCCTGGTGTTCATGTAGGAAATAATGCACTGAAGAGCACCTGAGGTCTTCCTCAATCACTTAAGCTGGAATTTTTAGTTGCTATAGGACTTTTACAGTGTCGGTGTCACTTAAAATCTAACCCAAAAAAAGCATAATGTTGTTGACTTTGGAAGAGAGAAGTTGTTTTTGTGACTCTGTATGATACACCTTGATTTGTTTCAAAGAAGGTGCTGTTTTGATCTTGCTTAATTATAGAAACAAGCTTGTTCCAACTTGAATAATTAGGTATCTTAAAGCAGTGTTGCTGTGCCCATATTTTCACTAAACTATAAATATATTAATTAATATCACAGACACTTTGGGTTATTTGAGTTGCTCCTACCCTTCTTGATCCATTCTTGTATACATCAAGAATAAATTTATTTTGCAAACCGTTTGTCAAAGTATTATTGCATATTATTACGACTTGGTCACATGTCTTGAACAATAAAACTTGTTTTCCACTATTTTGAAGTGTGTGTAAAAAATAAGACTTCTTAAATGCCTAGTGAAATTCTGATGAAACTCAATGTTTTCCTGTTAGACACTAGACAATGTTTTACTTCTATTGACTTATGCCAAAAATACTGGTTTTAATTTTCAATATTCAGGTGTGGAGGAAGGGTGTGGTCTACAATCCAAGTGTCTGTGATTATAACTATGGTGCTAGAATTCTGCTGAAACTTGTTAACATGTTATATTCTCTAAGACCATGTCATCCTAGTATTAAAAACAAATAAGAATTATAGTGCTTGCAAGAAATACTGGTTTTAATTTTTATTATTCAAGGACAGGGAAGGGCAGGGTAGGGTCTATACATATAATCCAAGTATATTTGTTTAATATTATGATGCTAGAATGAATATTTACAGAGCTTCGACCTCTAAAATTATTATTTTTTTACACATATTGAGAGCTTTATGCATGAAAAAGACAAAGAGATATCTGTACTAGGGCATTGATTTACAACAAAAATTGAGAGACGTCTCAATTTCAACATTTTTAATTTCGATTCCATAAGAAACATATTTTAACTTGTGTTGTAATCAGCTAATGATACTTGAGAAAAGACTTTACTGTATGATAAGTGGTAGATCTATATTTGTGTAATGATAATGCAGATTTAAAACATATTTTTGACAACAGCATGAGTTATTGTACTGATAATGTCTAGGGCTATTCATCTGCTCGAAAAGTTAATGTCAGATACTAGAGGCCTTGTTAAGATCTGAAATGTCATATCCTACGTCATATACATGTATTAGGTAAGGTCAGAGATCCTTTAACTTGAGATAATTGATTTGAAATAATCTTTGCTATCTGATTGGTGGATTTAAGGGGATATTTTTTTAAATTGACCAATGGTGGTGGTCCATTGAAAAAATAGGCTCATATTCAACCTTGAACCAAGAGTGGCGATTTTTTTGTGATTTTCAGATATTTTACTGATTGTGTTGATGTTTGCATTTTGTTTTATGTTGATTTTGTTGGCACTTGTTTTTATTGAATTGAATTAAGCATATTTTTCATAATGCATTGAAAAGTAAACAATGTTAATTTTGATAAATGAAATATTTGCCTTTAAATTTATTTAGTGCCTTTCTCAAAAACATGTTAAATGTTTAAACAAAGATTGTCTGTAATATATTTACATAGATTTGTTGATTTTTAACTAACACTGAATATCTAAAATATATCTATATTGTGTGATAAAGTTAAATGTTTATAGATTTAAAGGAACTACACTGAGGTATAAAAGCCTAAAATACAATATTTTAATTTTTCACATAGATAAGCATGAGCACTTTAAACAGAAATATAAATAAAATATAACTAAGAAATACACAAGAAATACATTGAAAATCACATGTTTGTGCTATTCTCAATCCGATTTGAGTGAAAAGCGTTTAAACGCTTTTCAATTTTGGGTCTTTTTTCACTAATAAAATAATTATTTTGGAAAAACGGAGCGAGCTAATGATCTGAATTTTTTCACTTAAGTTATTAGTAAAGATCTTCATCAAATAAGGTAATAATCTCAAAACATTATTTCCAGTCCTGTCATGTCGAAAAACCTCAGTGGAGTCCCTTTAAATATGCCATTTTTTTTTTTTAGCAAATAGACTATGTACACACAAATATTTTTGTTGCAGGAGTTGACAAAGTACCCGTCCCCGCCTCCGCTCAGGCTTGCCTCCCCGGACAGAGACACTGCTTCGGCCAGAGAGAGACGCAAGAGACAAAGTACGTTAATAAACATTAATGAATGTTACACTTATATAATGATAATAAATCATATGGGTAAGATCATATATCTAATCTATTTATGGATGAAGTTTTTTTCTTCTTTTTATCGGTAAAGGTACAACTTATGTTTACTCATTTCATCAACTTGAAAGCATTGTGAAAAATTTAATGAAATTTTCCTCTTACAATTTTCTTTTTTTATTAGAAGTTAGTATTAGAATGATTTGTGTTTTAGTTTTTCTATTACAAGAAGAAGAAAAACGATATGAAAAACCTACTTTACAATAACTGTCAATTTGGTAGAACATTCCTTTTATACCTAGAAAGTGGATATTTATCTTTATCTCTGTAGTAATTTATATTGAAATATTCTCACGTTATTATCTTAGAGAAATCATATTATACCTGTTGACTGTTTTATCATTTTATGTCAATATATATAGATGTCTAACCGAAGAAAATTACTTATAGCTGTGTATGTTTAAACCGTTTTCCCATATTATATAACGTCATTTGTAACTAAGGTAAGGTGTTGTGTTTATTTTGAATTACCACTTTTTTTGGTGACGGGCCTTACATGGATAAGATTTGTGATATATTTCTTGAGTCATTGTTAAAAAGCCAGTATCTACAGAAAATTTTAGATGTTTACTTTTATTGTGTTGAATTTGTATTATTATTTTGACAAGTTATAAGATTGGGTAGTGTGAATTTTAAAATAAAATAATCTAAACACTTATATGTACTCCCTTGTTATAGTAAAAACTATATAAAAAATAAATTTGTGATCATCATTTTGTAAACAAAACATCTGAAATAACTTAAATCTTAAGTATAATTATATAACCTGATTATTTTCTAAAGTTACTTTTTTCTCACGGTTTGTCAGATATATACGAGTATTAATGATAAAGCTTCTGTAAATGTTGTCATGTTTCCATTCCGTAGTTTTTAATAACAAAAGGAGAAAATTGTCAGTTTATTAACGAAATTTATCAAAGATTTGAAGCCGAGGTTTATGATTCATCATTAAAATAAGATTTCTATAGATCCTTAAATTCCTTTGACTTTAACATATGAAATAAATTTTTATACATGTAATTATTCCGTGGATGTAAATCGGTAAGTAAAATATGCACATTGTGCGTAAAGCTGTACTGAACGTTGTGCATGATTGTATATTTTTTGTGCGTGTGAGATTTCTGCAAAGCACTGACAACTGACTGCTGACTTTTTTTATGCGACTAAAACCAATCAAATAAAATCTTTGTGCAGATAATCTATTTAATCTGTAACATGAATTCGTTTCAGATTAAATTGTTATTTTGCAACATTTTTTTCAGCCGACTGGGATTTCCAGTTACATAAATCAGCATAAAAGCAAGAGCTGTTTCAATATTTCAAAATATGTATTGATATGTGAATGGTTCTTCAAATGTCAGAACACAATACTGTTCACTATATTATGTTTTGGTTTCTCAGAAGTTTTTCTAATGTATAGATCAGAGTTATTTGCTTTCCCCCCATTTTTTATTGCTAATGACATTTTAAAATTGTGGATAAGTAAAGGATAAATCTAAATCTAGGGAAAAAGCAAAAAAATCAAAAAGTTTTTTAAAAAAGGGAGGCAGAAATTTGAAAACTATTAAAATGAAATTAGGAAATCGGGATAGAGGTCATAGAGTGTATAAATTATAGAGACAGCTTATTGCAATTATGTTGTGATTTGTAACATAAAAAACCCACCAACTTCTGTCTTGCAGGATTTAGTAAATCAGGGTAACATAAATATATAGATAATTTGAATTGGTAGTGGAGATACTTATCATTTCAAACCAAACAAAAATGGGAAAAATGGTTTCAAAGGTGATATATGTAATGATTACTGTGATTTGTTTTGCAGAAGAGGAATTGTTACGAGAGCTGGATGAAGCTCGGGACGCTCGACGGGCAGCGGAACGACAGCGAGAAGAACTTGTCAAACACGCTAAACAAATGCAAACAAAAACACAAAATAAAAGAAATCATGGTAAATTTTCACAGTCATAATCTTTAATCTGTTTTAATTATTTTTGTTCGCCTGTTTGCATAAAAAATAAAGCGTAGGATTTGTAATATGGGGATGACGCTGGTTTGATTCTATGGTGTAATGAAATTTCTCCGTGACAATTAAGTATAAATAATGTTATTTGTTCTCTCATCACTGATTCAGAAATCATGTTAGTCACTAGAAATTGGCAAATTAGCGATTACTAGATAGCTATATAGGAAATGGAGGGGTGGATCGCCCACCAAGATTATGACCAAAAATGTAGTGGTTTTGTTTGTTCTTGGCATTTATTGGGAATTATTCACCCAACTGTCTTCAAGGAACTTGACTGGAACCTGGAAATTCAATAAGTAAAAGTCACCCCTATTTTGTGATGTAGGAGGACAGGCCCTGCCTCCATTTGATTGGTGCAAAAATTCATGTTACAATGTTGGGTTATATATTAAAGAAATTGTGCTTATTGATATTATGATGTAACATAAAGTTGTATAATGAATGACATATATTTAAATATTTAATTTCAGCTCGAGATTTATGGAAAAAAAGGTATTTTGAGGAGAAAAAGAAGACTGGTCCATTAGAAGAACAGTGTAACAGACTACGGCACGAATTGGACATTATACACAAAAAATTACTCACAACTCTAGAGGGACCTAAAGAAAAAGCTACTAAATTAAATGATATAAAACCCTCTAATAAGGTGGGTTCACCTGGGAGGCCTGTGGTGAGTTCAGCTTTTCAGACTTCTCGCACACCCTCACCACGCCTCTCACCAGCACCAAATGCTAGGGGCGACAACTCTAGGTTGCTTAATTCTAAGGGGGATAATTCTGATCGGCAGGCTTCTCCTACAGGAGCAGTTGTCTCCTCTGATCCATTCATTGGAGAATCCAGCAATAACAACTTTTCTCCTAGAATGTCACCAAGAGTTGTATCCCCTAGACGAGGTCAAGATATTTCTTTGAATTTAAGAAATGTTTCCCTGGCAAGGGATCATAAGCCCCAAAGTTTTCGTGAAAGGCCTACTCCACGGCAAGGATGGACTGAGGTGAAAAGCTCACCGAGGCAACCAGTTCAAAGGGGTCGGGCACAAGTTGTGACTAATAGTGGACTGGATAGATTTAAGTCTAGGTTTCATCAAGCCAAAAAAGAGCCTAAACAATATCCTATAAGTCTAGTCGGAAGTGATCAGAAACAGGCGTATTTTGACAGTGATCAGTTCGATTCCGACTACGACTCCAAGCAGTCAAGTGCAAGAAGCATTCTAGCCCCTAAAAGTCCTGACCGATACAATGCTTATCCCAGAAAAAATGTGCAGTTTGATATTTAAAGTATCTCCACCTGCATAGGTTTAAGTAAAACAATATCCGGTTTGATAATATTTTTTTTTAATTTTAGTGTATTTATTTCAGATATACAAATACTTTGATAGAGAGTTAAGAGCATACAGGAAATTGGTACATGAGTATTTTATGGGAAAATAATGTTTGCTCAATAAACTTAGAAGTTTGAAGCTACTTTAGATCATTTGAGCTGTGTCATGACAAAACCAACGTAATGCGTTTGCGACCAGCATGGATCCAGACCAGCCTGCGCATCCGCGCAGTCTGATCAGGATCTATGCTGTTCGCTAGCAGTTTCTTTACTTGTTATAGGATCTGTAAGCGAACAGCATGGATCCTGATCAGACTGCACGGATGCGCAGGCTGGTCTGGATCCATGCTGGTCGCAAACCCATTATGTTGGTTTTGTCATGACGCGGCTCATTTCATTTATAGATGTTGTGAATAAAAAGTTTTTTTTTCAAGAAATTTTTTTTTGTATTTTTTGCTGTTTTTAGTCATTTTTCATTCAGCAGAAATATACAGAATCAAGTCTCAAGGCAGTGACCATTTTATGCATGCTACATTTCCTTTTTTTTTCCTTTTTTTTTTTTACTGCTTTGAAATCAGAGCCTTCAAAAACAGAATTTTCTGAGTGTTTTCTATATGAAAACCTAGACTGACGCTGGTTGTTATTTGAACTGTGCCCTTACTCTTGCTTCAAATGTCATGACCTTATGTAATCACCTGACCATTGTCTTGCAATTGTTATAGATAATCTTATTTATAAAGCAAAAGAAAATCTTAACTTGCGAGCTTTAAAGCTTTGTTTTTTTAAATACTCTGAAATTCCTTAAATCTATAAAGGCATATTTTCTTTGCTGAATCTCTGCAGAGTGGAAGAATAAAATGGTGGTAAAAATTATATTTTTATTTTGTGATTTGATCATTGATAATGGATAGAAATACACAGTATTTAGAAATAAAGCAAATGTTCTTTCACAATGTGAACCAAAATATATACGGTAAAATTTCTGTTCACTGCTAGATATTGTGTGTTACTGTGATGTCTGTTATAAACTTGTCTGTGATAGTTATTTAGCTTTCATTTTGTTAATGATTATCTTTGTTGATGGTGCAGCATTTACTCTACAAGTACAATATTTTATGACATTTTTTTATATTTTGGAAACCAAATACATGTAGAACGTTTTTGTTCACACAAGTTTTCAATTAATCATGTACCTATTTGAGCCGCGTCACGACAAAACCAACATAATGGGTTTGCGACCAGCATGGATCCAGCGCAGTCTGATCAGGATCCATGCTGTTCGCTATCAGTTTCTCTACTTGAAATAGAGTTTGTAAGCAAACAGCATGGTTCCTGATCAGACTGCGCAGATGGGCAGGCTGGTCTGGATCCATGCTGGTCGCAAACCCATTTTGTTGGTTTTGTCATGACACGGCTTATTTTTACTGATTGCTACACCAATGTATCTGCCTTCTTATTTATAAACTGTTATTTCTCTGTTTTTCCAAGCAAGAAGCTTTGAATTATGCAACAATTACATAGATATTGACCAAAAACTTAAAAGTTATGATTAATTATAATTATTGTTATAAGTGAATGGCAGATCATTCAAATTGACTAAAATGTTAAAATGACTTCATAATATGTGAACATAATTAGGTAAAAAAGAAATATTTTTATATTACTGGTGATGGATGTATTTACTGTTTTAGTATGTTCCAAACAAGGCACTTTACCAACAATATACATGTATGTACTGGTTTGTTGTAAAACTTGACTTAATCTTAAAGTTTCATGTACCGGTATGAACAAAACTTTATAAAAGTTCTTTTGTTAAGAAGATGGATGTTAAAATAACATTTTTTTTATCTCTGCCTATCTTAGTAAGCTAGTTCTTGTTCTGTATGTGTTAACTTGATGGACAACCATTTACAAATATAGAATAGTTATGTGGCTAGATTTTGATATATCTGTAAATGTGAAGTATTAAACCCTTACCACCCTAAATATGTTATATGGACTTGTCCATCTTTCATCCTGGACATGACCATTCATCAGTTTTAGGGCAAATTTTCAATTTTTTTACTGCCTGAATAGCAAGCAGTGTTGACCATGATCAGTGCTGGCTTATTTTGGTCTGCACTGGTGGCATGGGTAAATTGTGTAGCCGCTAGCTGGCTAAGGTTTAATGTGTAAATTCCTGCAGTTTATTATTTATCATTGTTTCAGTTAGGGTATAAGTTAGCAAGATATATTTTATTTTAAAATTTTATTGATATAAAAAATTATGACACAAAGTCATGTCATTGGCTTGATACATAGCTTTCTAACAAAAGAATAAGAAACTTCTTTGTAAAAACAACAACAGATTAACAGATCTAACAAATTAACAGAGATAATGTTGCATTAGTACAAATGTATCCAAATATTTTATAACTTCAGTGGTCAATAATGTGAGTTGATAACATATACATGTATATATATGAAATTTAAGTTCATTGTGTGAACACTGAAAGCATTCTTGTGGCATTTTAAGTATAGATATTGAAAGAATTGAAAAAAGAGAAGAAAGAAACAAATTGTGATTATTTGGGTTTTGCATTATTTGGCATATATTAAAGGAGTTCCACTGAGGTCAAAAAGCCTGAAAACATATAATTTGAAAATCTAACATATATCAGCTGGGGTACATGAAATTTAAAAATTATGTGGAAAATAATAAAAAATAAACTCACAATTAAACTGAAAATCGATTTTGAGCACGATTCTTAGCCTGATTTGATTTAAAAGCATTTACATGTTTTTCAATATTTGTTTATTTTGCACAATAAAAATGATAATTCTGGAAAAAAAGAGTAAGTGAATGATCTGAAATTTGGCATATAAGTTATTGGTAAAGATCTTTATCAAATGGTTGGAAAGTCTCAAAAGTTATATCCCGTCCAATCAAGTAAAATAAACCCTCAGTGGAGCCCCTTTAATATTTAAACATGCATTCATTATAAATAATCACTATGATTAGACTGTTACAAGTTAATACTTTTTGTGTAGGGAAAATGTTTTTACATATTATGTTTACACATTATTGTAACTTTGTTCTACTATGCTTCAGAATAACTTCAAAATTCAAGCAACTCGATTGCAACATGAAATAGAAGATGTAAGACGTAGGGTGGATCATGCAAAAATGAAATTAACCAGTGAAATGAAGGTAGGCGTGGTCATGTGACATTATAGCTTAGGTTAATACTGTTGTATATCGTGTTCTTAATAGTATTTTTCTATGCGGACATATTTTTAGCACGTGTTTACACATTTTTATTATTACATTGTACATTTTGTAAAGACACAGAGTTTTTTGAAAAAAGAATTTAGTGTACACAGCCATAGGTCACCCTGGTTTAGTGAGCTGAGGTTTATTGCTATGGTAACATTAGTTTTTTAAATGTTTTTGAGCTTTGATTTGTTTATTGCTATTTTGCTTTGTTTGTACTCAAACCCCAATGCTTAGTGTACATGTATGTATATCTGTATATAATTGATAGTTTGTAATTCCTTTGTCAGTTTTAGTAGACCGTCCCAGAATATATTGCTTGAATTCTGTAGCTTTACAAATTTATAGAAACTAGTTATTTACAGTCCAGGATATTGAAATAACTGAAGGGTTTAGTGTAACGCAATTATAACTTGTTAAGTTTGAAGAGCAAATATGAACACTTTTATGATAAATCCTTCATTAATTTCAAATTTTCTTACCACAATAATTCAGCAAGAAGCATCTAACTGTTTGAAATTTGTTGTTGTTGTTGTAGTGTGTATTTCTAAACTGTTACCATGGCAATAAAACAACTCGGTCACTCTAGATATCTCCATTTTTGTATTTCAGAAGTGTGTGTGTTCTGTTCAAACTCTTGGAGAATGTTTATTATTTCTTAATAAAAATTCTATTAGCTGTTTTCTCTGGTTCAAAAGTATTTTGAAAAGAAAAAAAAGAAAATCTCCAAGAGTTTATTTGCATGAGTTAGAATTGCATGATATTTTTGCAAACTTAAAAAAAAAATGATTTAACAGATTGAAATAATTTTCATGTAGAGAATAATCTATAGATGCATGTAATGAAAAAACAAAGAGAAATTTGATAAGTTTTGATGAAAATAGATCAATCTCTAAACTAAACATTCTTTAAATTCTATTTTTAATTGATTATTTTTCAAAGAAACCTTTACTAATCATGCATGTTTTTTTTTTTTGGTAAAGAAATGCATGAGTTATAATAAATGCATGGATATTTTTGATAATTTATTTGCTGTTTTATTAGAACAAGCCGTACCTAACCAAGTTTTATGCTAAGAAAGTGTAAGTACTCGCTGCAGTTGATATGCATTTGTGTTTGAAATATTATACATAGAATAGCTTACAAGTCTTGTCAAACATTGATTTTGAAATTTTAATGTTAACAACGATATAAACACGGCAGATTTGCTATGCCTTTTATAAATTATTAAGCTTGATTGGATTTTTCTATAACTGTTTGATGAATTACTGTTTTTAGAGATTAACACTGCTGGTTTGATAACTAAACTTTTCATAATGTTTCCAGATGTTGAAATACGAAAAATGTTTTAAATAGCAAAGAATCAAAGCCACATTTAATTATTACATATATATGTACTTATAAAGGTAATTTTCTATAGAAAACTTCATAAAATAGAAAAATACTTAATCCCTTTAAGAATGCCCAAAACAGCAAAATTGAAAATGTTGCAGGCTCGGTCGAAATAAATATTTTCTTATATAATATTGATAGCTTGTCTGTCACATTAAATGGTATGTTATCCCTCACAAGTTTAGTATGTAGGTTTCTAAAGTGAGGAGACAATCCAAGCTTTTAGAACACATAGTCATTGTTTGGTGAACTTGGAGTATTGTAGTTTGGACAAATACGTTTAAAAGATGTACATGTATGTTCCTCGACTATTGAAATCAGAGTTTTTTTTAAATCTATAGGACCTTAAATTAACCCCCATTCCAGATCTCATGCCATAGGTTACTTTTAATTCAATTACCTCGATAAGCATCTTAAATGGACTTGTCTATCTTTCAATCTGGACAAAACCATTCTTCATATTTGCGGAGATTTTCAAAACATTCATAATAACTGAATAAGCGAACAGTGCTGACCATAATCAGACAGCATGATTTTCGGGCTGAGTTTGGTCCGCACTGTTCACATTGGTAAATATATTGCTGCCAACAGGCTTAGTGATGCATTTTGTTACCATATCCCCATTAACATTTCCTATATAAAAGAAATGTTTTCTGTAGCAAGTAAGTGAATAACTTATCCAGTGATACATGCAAAAACAAGAAAACATGTAGTAACTTTTTTGGTGAGTGAACCAAAATTATGAGAATTGAAAACAGATTTATAAAAAAGGGGAGAATCAGACATCTTTGTTTTATCTTTTAATGTTAATTCAAATTATTACCAATTGCCGGATATAGAAGTCAGTAAAAATAGGAAAATTAGCTTCCCTATGTGTTTTAGATAATCGAGAAGTTATAATTAATGTAATCAATTTTTACTTAAATAGCTATAAGGCTTTGAATGAACTGGAAAGGAAAAAATAATTTTACGGTAAATTTTATTGTTCATGCACAGTCCTAGAATTCTCCTTCTGAATTACAAACACCTAAAATTCTATCTCTGGTGGTAATTTAATTACAATATAGACTTGTGTTTTAACTACCAATAATTGAGTTAAAATGAGAATTTACCAAGCAAATCTATGATTAAATCTCTAGGCAGTATAAAATACATAGGAGAGTGATTGTACTCCTTTTAAATGCTTCAAAAAGAGAGGCATATGCACATCACATATGCACATAAGTTTTTTTTTATCGTTGCGTCTGTTGCTGAATTTTGTATAATGAACTTATCCTAAGTTATTTATATTCTCAACTGGTAATGTTTTTATTATATTAATAGAAAGAGCATCATAACATAAGGCTATCTGATTTGTACTAGGGGGTGTAGCCCCCGAAATTATTAATCATATTGCTGAGTGTTTTGATGTTATTTCTCTTTTGTATCATAGGCAAAATAAAACATGTTCCCTATCATCACAATATGAAACCTCAGAAAAAAGTATGACTTTCCTATCGTTATCCCTTTCCCTGTTGTCACAATAAGTAAACCCCAGAAAAAATGAGCCAATCATGAACAAGCATGCTCTATTTTTATCCCACGACAGACAGTGCGGTAACTCGATATATGATTTAACTCTGACACTTTTTCAAAATTAAAGTCTCCAAACTATGATACAAGGGTTTTAATATCAGATATTTAAAAACCAACATTAATGCTGGTCAAAATCATGGTCAGACTATGAATGTGAAGTTTTGCCTTAATTCCTTCACTGATGGTAGAGCTTTTACATGATTAAGGTAACCCTTTGTTCTTATGCCAATAAAGCTACTGGAAGTATAGATTGAAACAATACATAAGTACAGACTTTCAGCTCCTCTGCTCCAGAGTTAACAGTGTTTCTTATATAATTATAATATCATTTAAGGATGTAAATAAGTTATATTGATAATTTTTGTTTAAATAATTGAACATTTTAACATAATTTTTTTTTTCAAGGAAAACTTAAATAATATTTCATACAGTATCAGGATATACTAGTTGACATGAATGACAGTACCCAAGAATCATTTCACTGGATTTTTTAAAAATATTTTTTATTTGCGTTTCTTGAAAATTTTGACGAAACGTGGCAACTATTTTGTGACATTGAGACTTAGCACAATGTTTTGCATACATGCACACACACACACACACTGGTGACCTGGCTGTTTATTTTATGATATTAGAATCATTTAGAGGTTTTATGGAGATATCTAGCTGGAATACAAGGCAATGTGACAGCACAACTTTATTAAAATTACTGAAAGAAAGTCTTGTTTAAGTGGGAAATATTATAACATTTTGGCCAAAGTTTACAAATATTTGATTGAAAATTGACCTTTTGTGTGATTTATTTAAAAAAAAAAAAGATTTTGAAAAAAATAAACTGCATGTTATAAAATTTGCTTTATTAAACTAATCTAGTGCTTGGTTGAAGAGTTGTGCCAGAGTTGCTTCCCTTGTATTCCTGAAACCAGGGTGACCTTCACCTTGTCAATACCTGTTATATACAGGTTTGTTTTGGTAAAAGTCATTGAAGTGATCACAAAGACAAAGTAGTTCCAATATTTATATATTAATGTTTTACATTAAAATGTCTTGATATCAACAAATGTTCTTTGTTTTTATTTAAATTTTCTTATAAATATATTTTCTTATTTATTATTTATAATGTATGTAATTTATGAAACGTAGGTTTGTATTTTCCTTTTAAATGTTATAGTAAAATGTAAAATACATTTTCATCATCATATTGACTTGTCTATTAAAATTATTATAGAATATATCATTTCATAACTTATCTATTCAGAAATTTTATGAAATATTATAATTATTCATGGAAATGTTTGCGTTTTTTCCCCCTAAAATATCAATTTGTATCGATTGGTATTATTTTTTGTATTGCACGATTTTTGCAGCTACGAAATCAAGCAGAAACTGAACTCCGAGCGTTACGAGCGGAGCTGACACAGAAGAAAATAAACTTGACCTTATCAAGAAACTCTCATTTAACAACATACGCACCTCCCGCAGCAGACGTCAATTTAATATCAACAAGAACTGGACTAACGCCAAGATCTTAGTTCTGTTATTCTGTTGATTAAATTTTGTTATTTAAAGTTTTCATATATTTATATATTCTACGTATTTATTCTACGTAAAAACTCTGGCATAAACAGCATCGCCTGCATTAGGTCGACTGACGGGAATATGAACAGTTACTGATGGAATATCGCAAAAGCAAAAATTTTAAATCATGAGATGATTCCAACATTATTACCTTCAAGAGGAAGAGTAACAACTTTATTTGAGTGTCTGATGCAGCACCATCATTAATCTGTACACTTAAATGAAAAGTCATTTTACATTTGTGATGCTATCAAAATCATTGCTGCATCCGTCTGAACAAGGTATCGTCTGCCTATTTTTCAAGTGAACTACTCCGTTGTTGCAAAACAAATACAGTAATAGTGAATATTAGAAACAAAAGATGAAGTAAAAAGCAAAGGTTAGGTTATTATAGCCTACACCAACCTAACAGGTTGTGAGGTCAGTGGGTATGTCTTGATGAAATTTTCTTAATTTGTAGTATCACCTCGTGTCAGATGTTGCCATACTATGAATAAGACTCGAGAAGGGGAAAATTTTAGTCGCGCCATGACAAAATCAACAAAGTGTGTTTGTGACCAGCATGGATTCAGACCAGCCTGCACATCTCTGCAGTCTGACCAGGATCCATGCTGTTTAATTACAAGCCCTATTACAAGTAGAGAAACTGATAGCTAACAGCATGGATCCTGATCCGACTGTCGCACACGCACTATGTTTGTAGTGGCGCGGCTCAAATAAGTTAGTTACGCAAGTTCAGTGCCAGATATCTCTGCTGAATGAATGTTTGATGTTTATCAAATTTCAGTTTATAAATAATCTATAATACATATTTTTCTCCAAAAAAATATTCATTGCATATCATTATAGAGTGCATCTTATTGTATAATACCATTACTTAGGCGAATATATACATTATTGAAACATGTTGATATGAACGAAAATTTATTAGAAACAACATGTACCATATATTTCTTGTACATACTTTAAAGCAACTTATTTATAATAGAAACTCTCTTGTACAGGACAGTTTTTTAATTGTACAAATTCTATAAAAAGTTCACTCGATGTTGTGTGAAAAATCTTTATATTTAATATACCAGTTTTTTTATCATTTCTTTTCAATCATGTTTTTTTTTTTACTAGTCATTATCTGTGATAATCAAATGTTAGTGTTAATTACAAAAAAAAAAAGTAATTCAGTTATTAAAACTTCAGAATATTTTCTTAGGAAAAAGGTTATTTATTATATTTTTTAGCTTATTAAAATAGCTTAAAGTGTTATTATTACCTTATAAGTTGTTTCTTTGTGAATATTTTTTAAAAGGTTTTTAATGTCTAAAATATTTATTTTAAGGCTGCTCTTACAATACCCCCCCTTACCTACAAAGTTACAGAAAAATAATCTTGTATCTTGGACTACGTTATACATTTCATTACATTATCTATATAAACTTCCTTTCATTCAAAGGGCTCAGTCATTGCTCAATACAAAATGAAATGGGGCATATTGTTGTGTATTTAAGTAAATGCTGCCTATATACCATTAATTTGTTATTGTTGATTTTTGTAACTTGAAAAACAGAAAAAAATAGGTGACTTTAAACTTATTCTGAAAACTGATCAGTTAGTAAAACATACAATGTATTGTTTTAAATCTGTTTGATAATTTGCATGATAAAGAAACTTAACTTATTAAATCTATATAAAAAATATATATAGCCATGCACACATGCAAAAATGTTTCAAGTTAAAACCTCTGGCATTACTTATTTTACTTGTGATTTTTGAAATGTTAAAAGTGTTTCCAGTAAAAGTCTCAGCTTCAGTAATTTCATGTAGAGATCATTGCTTTTATAGCAATTACACTTCCATTAATAATACCTATAATATCTTATACACAGAAATTACCTTTTTGTGTAAAATGAGCATACGCTGTGATAGTTGTTTCTACATTATATTATATATTTGCATGTATTTGTTGCCTAAATCAATTTATTTCAATGTTTGTGTTTACAGTCATGCATGCTGAAATATTTGAGCCGAGTCATGACAAAACCAAAATAATGGGTTTGCGACCAGCATGGATCCAGACCAGCCTGCACAGTCTGATCAGGATTTATGCTGTCTCTTACCAACTCTATTACAAGTAGAGAAACTGATAGTGAACAGCATGGATCCTGATCAGACTGCGCGGATGCGCAGGCTGGTCTGGATCTATGCTGGTCGCAAACCCATTATGTTGGTTTTGTCGTGACGCGGCTCATTTGTGCTCTTAAGGTTATCAGAGAATTGTCTCATGTTTACATTACTTACATTCGTATTGTTTTTGTTTATATTACTTAAAATAAATTGCCTGCCAGTAAAAATAATGAGAGAAATTCACCAAATGACACCTCTGACACAATCTTGCATTCTAAATACAGTGCAGCCTCTACAGACCGGCCCTCTCTAGAATAACCACCTCTTTATAACAACAGTTCTAATCTTTCTAAAAGTAAGAATTTATAATAGATTTAAACTTTCTTGAACAACCACCTTTGTACAACAACAGTTGTATTTTTTCTAAAAGTAAGAATTTATAATAGATTAAACCTTTCTCGAACAACCACCTCTTTAAAACAACAGTTTTAATTTTTCCAAAAGTAGTTTTAATCTTTCCAAAATTACGAATTTAAAACAGATTTAACCTTTCTAGAACAACGACCTTTTTACAACAACAGTTTCAAAAGTAAGAATTTACATGTATAATAGATTTAACCTCTCTAGATTAACCACCTCTTTATGACAACAATTTTAATTTTTTCACGGGAATTCATAATAGATTTAACCTGTCTACAGCAACACCTCTCATTACAATCAAAACCTATGCCTCCACAAAGGGTATTGCTTTGAAGAGGTTGTACTGTAATTGATCCTCACTGATTAAAGAGATAATGAAAAAGATGCTCAACTATATGTCACGGCATTTGGATTTTTTTTTTCAGTTTCTTTTTTTACATTTTTTTTTACATTATAAATAAATCCACATTTTTAAAATCTATTTCATTGTTTTCAGAATTATCTGATTGATAAAATAGTTTGAAAAGAAATATACCTAAAATTAAGTAATAACTTTGACAACCATTGCAATTTACATTGGATGTCAAAATTAAATGTATGTTGTTTTTTTTCTCCCGTGATTCGTATATTTCTTTACTGTATTTTGAAAAATGTTCTTGTTTTTTAAGAGTTTATAACAACAAGTTAGAAATAGTACCTCGTTACTCCTCCAAGTCATGTTTTGGGTTCAGGCCAAAAAATCTGTATTTTTATTTTGCTGACAACTTTTTGAACAAAATCTTTCAAGATTCAATTGGCATTATGTACGCTCTACGCCTAGTGCCTGGAGATTTACTACATGTGCATTGAGAAAATATTAGAATTTTAGTAAAATAACAAATTGGACCGTCAGAATAATTTGCACGAATCCAAATTCTGCCTTAAAATGGCAAACATTATGACTAAAACGGAATTTGCAATGGACATGCTATTAACAAATTAAAGATGCAACAAAATTTTACAAAGGGAGGTAACTGGATGTTATTTTAACTTGAAAAGTCTTATTTTATGTTAATATATAAAACTATGTTGGTAAAGTGCCTCTTTTTATTATATTCGTTACAGTTGTTCTATATTTAATATTGATGGTTGAAGCCAAGTTGGATATGGACATTGTTATAGTTAAAGTTATATATTTTGCTAGCAATATCATTTCATTTCTTTCTTATTCAAACCATAGACAAAAAGTAAAAAATAAAATTGTTACACATTTACAAGACTTTATTACTTTTCTTTTTATCTTATATACAAATTATCAAAATTTCACAAACAATCATTCTGAAATACTTCAAAACATACTTGGAAGTATAAATGAAAAAAAAAAAAATAAATTATGAGTATATAAATGATAAATCTTTATGAAGAACCACAAACTAAGATTTCAATAAAAAAAAATACTATGATAAGTTTAAATTTAAATTTCTTCAAGTTCAAATGTATAGAAAGCGCTTTAAGCTAATACTGCAAAATCATTATTATTCATGGGGAGCTAATTTCTATGGTTTTCCTTGATAGGTCCATCAACAAATTAAAAAACCAATGAAATTTTATTTCGTCTGCTGTAAGATAATTTTCCATTCTACCTTTTGGAAAATAAAGTTCACGAATTAAAGAACCCTATGAAAATGTTCTCTATGGCAAAACCATGAAATTTCATGCCCACGAAATTATGTGAATTCTCAGTAGATGACAAATAATATATATTATATATAGAAATATTATATAGAAATAAGAGAGCATGTTGGACATGATGCAAATTATGAATTTTCTTTTTTCCCTATTGCACTTAAAAAGAAAAACGTGTTAAAGCTAAAAACTACAGTATTTGTTTTAAACAGTTTACATAATTTTGGATATAAAACAATCACCTTACAAATAATATAACATAACAATATCAAAACAATAAATGATAAAAATGCTGCAATTTCTAAAGCACATTGAAAAATAACAGATGTCCGTAAGACATCGTGCTAGACTTTTCTCAGTGTTTGAAAGTAAGAAAAGGGGCATAACTCTGTAAAATAGTAACTTACAGAGTTTTAGGACTTGTGTTGATCATGTGAGATAATAACAGCGAGTAAGTGTGAAAAGCTCCAATCCCTTGACAAAACTTAACCAAAGTGACACAACACAATAGTACAATAGCTCTCCCTATTCTTCAAATAGTCAAACAAAAAAATAAAACAAAAAGTAAGACAACATTTAAAACATCTATCAGAACAAAAATAGCCACAGCTTTGGAATTTAAATGAATTCTACATAAACAAAAAACCTAAAATCATGCTGTTGCAAAAAAAAAAAATACGTCAAAAGCATACAAGAAAAAAATTGTTCCATTTGAGATTGCTGAATACCAATGGGTATGTTGTGGGTGATGATATTAGGAACAAACGTTGTAAGTCTGAAGTAGATCCCTTTAGAAAACAAAGAAGACAGTATAAAAATATTTTTTAAATAAAAATTTGAGCTAGAAGTGGAGAACATTCTTGTTACATAACTGCTAAGATTTGACATGCTCTAGTAGTAGGTGACATATTTATATAAGTAAATCCATCAAGAAATAAAGAAGTTCAACAAAAAAAAAATAATTTACGCACAGAATACAGTATGCTAACACCTTGATAATGACATCTCTCTATATAGTACAACTTAAATCAATAATAAAATCTGACGGAGTTTGTCAGTTATGACCTTGTTATAATTCATATAAATTTTACGTTATTAATACATATTGTATCTCACATGAGTTCCTATATAATAAACAAAAATTCATTAAACAAGTTTCAGAAATTGTAATAAATTGAGTCTCTGGCAAGCCTGAAAACATTTTGTCAGACAAATTAATTTTTATTTTATATTTTATGACAGCAAAGGTGAGATCCTATATCTGACTAAAACACTCTGAAATCATTATAGAAAAATAAACTTGCTTTGACGTTCAATGCATGCTTTTGTTCACAGTTTTTTCATATGAAATGTATAAGTGAAAATGATGTCATGATTATGTAATATTCCATATAAAGAAATATATTATGTTTTTAAGTAATACCATGTGACATCAGAATGTCCTGAACACTATCTTGGCTAACAATTGTTACCAAGAAACTAATAACACCACTGTACACATCAAAATCTATTAAGACTTATCAAACCAAGCCAAAATTGGCTCAATTATTGGTCGATATAAAATCTGTGCCTGCAATCAACCAGTCATATGCAGGAGAATGGGACTGGTTCCCTGTCTCAATTATTAAAGGTACTGATACCAATCTCCTAAACAGAGCACCAGACTGCATCACATTCTGTAACACTACAAGTTTTTCACAACATCTGTACCTTGAATGAATATATCCTTTAAATTATTACACTTTATAATAAGTTTTCAAGAATTTCACAAATTACAAATATCACACCTGTGCTAAAGTATGCAATATTGATACAGTTTTGTGTAACACTTTGTTCATCTTTTGAAGTCTATTTCATCTTTGAAGACTATTTCTATTCCAAAACGATATACTGTATCAAGAAAATCTGCTATCAGTCCCTTTTCACTCTTCAACTGAGTTGTTTATTGTACTAGTATAGTATATACACATATACCAGTGCCTTCAAAGTCCATGAGAGATTCTCTTCTAGTTAGTAATGTGGTCATACCTCTATAAAACCATCATTTTCTTTATCATTGTCCTTATCACCATCATAATATTCATTGTTGGCTTCAATTCTAGAAGAAAATGTAACAAATTTAAAATACTATAAGGTCGACCTGCAGAACACAGAAAGGTCTTTAAACCCAGGATTTTTGCACTTCTGTTCTTGGCATGGCATGCTTTTTTATTTTCTGTAGGTTTAATTGACAACAATATGCCTAAGGCATTCTCAAACATTCTCCTCTTTTTCAACTAATTTAAAAGAAGTTGGCAGTTACTAATGAAACAAGTAAACTATCTTAATTAATAAAAACTTAAGAGGCATTTCAATATTTAGCTCTGGACAGATTTTTTTCAAGTTACAAAGGGCCATAACTCGGTCAATAACACACTAATGGACCGAGAGGTTATAAGACATATTTGTCTAAAGAACTGACTGAACTGTCATTACAAAACCTGGCTCTATCATGTTGGCTGACAAACTTTTTAATTTTCAAAATGATAGATAATGGACAGTTCTAAAAATGGAAGCTGGACAAGTCCATTTTATCAATTCAGTGAGTTAAGGTTTAAATAAACCTAAATTATTATTCACCCTACATAGCGGAACTTTGTCAGAGTGCTATATATGATTTTGTATGTACATACCTTTTATCAACGTCTGCTTGACTGTTGGTGATATCAGGATTTGGCTCCTCTGTGTTTTCCAGTGATAGAAGATCTGGTGGTATGTCCTGCATTTCTACACTAGGTGAGCATGCCAGCTGCTTCAAATTCTCACTGACCATCTGTTTTAGACCGTCGATGTACTACATTGAAGAAGAAACACAAACTAGTACTGGCACTATGTAAGTAATTGGGCGTTTGTGCAATGACTGGAGAATGTTTAATTCAAAAATAACTTATTTTATAGTATTGTGTAGAAACAATTACTAAAGCATCACAAAGATGTATCCATCTTTACATGTTGATAATGATTGTTCAGCCATCAATCTGTTCATATTTCCTCAAAAGCATTTATACAAAATCAAAAGCCATCAATTTGTTCACTTTTCATCAAAAGCCATTATTCTTCATCAAAAACCAACAATCTGTAAACTAATTATCAAAAGCCATCAATCTGTTCACGTTTCATCAAAAGCCATTACACAAAATCAAAAGCCATCAATCTCTTCACGTTTCATCAAAAGCCATTACACAAAATCAAAAGCCATCAATCTGTTCACTTTTCATCAAAAGCCATTACACAAAATCAAAAGCCATCAATCTGTTCACTTTTCATCAAAAGCCATTACACAAAATCAAAAGCCATCAATCTGTTCACTTTTCATCAAAAGCCACTATTCCTCATCAAAAGTCATCAATCTGACATAATGAACAACTATTAAAGTAAAGGACAAAAAAACTTATGCCACTACAGGCAAAGAAGGAATGCCAAGTAAACCTACTGTTTTTGTGTTCTGATTGTCCTGTTTTGTTGATATATCAGGATGTAGGGTAAAGTCTGGAGCAAAATATTCCAGGTACTCTGAGAAAGGAAAATAAAACAATTTATTTCTACAATTGTTTCAGTGTTTTTAAATATGAAGATTTCTAATGACTAATAAAATCGCATACCGGTATTTAAGAACAAACATTTTTGTACACTACGAGCATAATCAGGAAATTTGAAGTTAATTCCAATAACAATCTGAGATATTATGTTTACCGATTACTTCTTCAAAATATATAAAGAAACTTCATTCTTAAGTTAATCTATCTTAGAAGTAGAAATGTGTCCATGGGATGTTTATGGATGGACAGCTTGACGGTGTTATGAGTGAACAAGGGTCAATCTATATCTCTGCCCACCCCCTTAAGACTGGAATAGAATTATCAACAATAACATATCCCCAATTAACTGTAGGGAGCTTAGTTGCTTATCATGTATCCTTCTAGGGATTTTCCTTTATCTTAGCAAATAAGTTAAACTATTAGTCATTCAACATTACATGAAAATAACGTTTGCCATATTTATACAGCCAAATCAGTTTGCTTAACTTTTCAGTCTGACCTGAATCTGTACTGTTGGCTATGAAACTTGTAGTTAATCTTATAAAGAAAACATGTACAATTTTAATAGCATGCCTTTGCTATGAGCACTTAATTATAAACAAAGACTTCACATTACCATTATAAGGTATCTCATTACTGATTTCCTCATTTAGTATAACCCCTGTCTCGTATGTCCAGCACCTAGCAACATTCCTCTTTGTGTACCCACCACCTCCAAGCACCAACAATGGTAGACCATATTCCTTCACAACTTTTACACACTCTCTATTAAAGAAAACACATTTAAATTATTCTTAGCGAAGAGGGTCATGATGGTCCTATAATACACAACATTGCACGAAATAGGTCAATGGGTAAAAATCAAGTTCATTCAAGCTCAACATTGATTTAATATATGTGAGTGGAAGAGCGGTCAAAGTTTAAAGATCTTGTATGAAATAGGTCAATGGGTCAAGTTCAATTTCATTGAAGCTCAATTTTCATTTTATACATATGAGTGGACTAGCAGTCTAAGTTTATGGATTGAAGCTTTTATATTCATAAAAAGCTAACTTAGAAATCATTTGACGATAATAGATGATAAAAGTTCAATCTGCTTTTAAGTTCCAAATTTGCAAGTCATAGCTTGAAAAATACAAAAGTATGTCGCTGACAAAGTTCCCAGTAATCATTTGTACAGGCATAAACTTGTGTAAAATTATGTAAAACTTGTGTTACGGCCTTATCCAAGTGCTATACTTGGAATAATCTTTGCAGCAGATCACTTGACGATATTACTTAATATCAAAGAGGTAAGTCTGTTGGAAAAAAAGATATTTTAAGATTTCATTTTTTTTATTCAATTCTAGCTCTTATTCATTAAACAGAACCAGTTAAATAACTTTTGTAGAACTTTATGCATTGATCAGCACAGGCAATTTTCAACAGCACTTTAAAACTGCTATTTCACACACAATTGAAAACCTTTTGGGGGGGTTTGGTTTTAAGTCACACCAACACATTATAGGTCATATGGCGACTTTCAAGCTTTACTGCTGGAGGAAGACCTCACATGCCCCATTGTGCATTTTTTCAACCGGGACCTGAGTAGAACCATCGACGTTCCTTAAGGTGGATAACTTTCTCACATGAAAATATTCCAAGACACTGGCGTGGCTCAAACATACAGCAGTGAGAGGGCAAGAGGTTTAAAGTCAACAACTTTTTGTGGACTAAAAAAAATTGATTTGACAAGGTAACATTGTACAAGTACTTACCCATGTCCTTTTATACTAAGATTAAAGCAACCTAGTCTGTCACTGCCTAAGGAATCTGCACCACACTGAAATATTGCAATGATTGAATAAGTGGTAATAATTTTATTTCTTTAAATCCTTACAGCTTATATCCTTTCTGTGAATCTGCTATACTCAATGTTAACAGAAACACTAGGAAACACATCTCAATAAGTGACACCTGGTTCAATTATAACTTTAACCCAAAGAAAACAATGGGGTCATGATAGCCCTATATATATAGGTTCTCCCTTTAAATCCATTGTTAATTTTGGTGGGGCTATTTTTTTTGTTTTACCTCAGGACCATTGTTCATATAATTAAGTAGAGATACAGTAGGCAATGCCACTTCACGAAATATATCTCCCTGTATTAGTTTATGTGCAGTTAGTGATCTCTTATGCAGGGCAAATTTCTACCCTAGTTTTATGATTTATTGGAATTCTTTTAATGGTTTGCCAAATATCTAAGATTAAAAGCACTGTAGTTTCTGGAATAAAAAAGTTCCAAACTTTCTGTGAAGTTTGGTCAAAATCCACTATGTGGTTTGGACATCATGCTATCACAAAATCATGTGTTCAGGTGAACAAAAAAAACAACAAATAGTCCCTTCATATTGTTGTCTTTTCATAAACTGTTTCACAATACCACTTTTCAAAAAGCTTGCTTGTACACTTGAGTTATCAAAGTATCTACTCTGTTTTTTTGCAACTACATGTACCTCTACACCTGTTTTCTCTATTCAAAAGGACTAGTCCTAACTGTCAATTATCAAACATGAAATAAAGTCTTTACAATGTTAAATAATAAGCTATTTCTGGATATTTTATTTTTTACCTGAAGCACTATAACTGTGGGTCTGTAGAATTCTATAACTTGCTGTATTGTTGGCTTGAACACATTCATGTACACTGTAACAAAACAAAAAATAATTTGCTTCAGTGTAAGCAACAACATTATGTTATCTTTTTATAATTTATTACTAAATAGTACATGTATTTGCATTTATCATGAATTTTAAAAATGATCAGTCTAAGTTATTTGGAAATGTTTAGACTAAATAAAGTAAAGGAGCACTTTTGCAGTTCAGAGGAAATTTATCTATTTTTTTTTTCTTGTTGGTTTTAACTTTCCACTAACACAGTTATAACTGGTGGAAGAAGACCTCAGGTGCCCTTCCATGCATTATTTCAGTCACGAACAGGCACCTTAGTAAAACCACTGACGTTCTATAAGCTAGCTGAATAGCTTCCTCACAGGAAAGAATTCAAAGTCTCTCTTGGGACCCAAACCCACAGTGGTGAGGGGTTAGTGGTTTATGTAAATAATAGAAGTACATTGTATATAATCCCTGTATGGATCAGTAGACAGCAAGTACAGTAACCTAGGATTCAATAACTGGGTAAACAATTCCTGTAAGTATGTGCTGTAAGAAAACTATTCTTGGCTCTGTCTTAAAGCATGATTTTCATTGGTCAATTTTACATTTTGTGCTGAAATCTGACCAATCAAATATCAACTGAGATCTGAGTCTGAGTTAATTATATAGCTTTACAGCCTCAGACCTAGTTCTTTTTAACTTTCACTAGAAGCGAATAAGTTTGCTTTGTTTGTTTGTTTCATTTTACGCCTTTTTTCAACAGTATTTCAGTCAAATAGGCGGGTAGTTTCCTAACCATCGTTCCTGAAGAGTTAACAAGTTCTAGACTACCTTCCTCTGCGCTAAACTACCAAAGCATCTCCCGGGGATCGAACCCACGCCAGAGAGGTAAGTAGATTAGAAGTCATCGACTCTAACCCCTCGACCACGGAGGCGGTAAGCAAATAAGGAAATATATACTCATACATAAGGATAACAAGGAAATTGTCACAAAATGGACTCTATGCTTTTGTTTAAACCTGTAACTAGAATACATGCCAAAGTTAAAAGTCATTAACTTGTGGTGCTCAACTACTTATACACTTCACGGTCAATGTCAGGTTTGAAACACTTTTCTATCATTAACTTTACACATCATCATTATCTACAATCCTTCTCTTTTCATTATGTGTAACAAACACTTGAAATAAAGAGAAAGTGTAGTAATGTAATAAATGATAACAGATAGAATCTTACTCTGGTCATCCATGCCTTCTCTCAGTGGTACATTTAATGAATAATATCTCCCACATTCTGCTCCCAGCTCAAACATATCCCCTGAAATAAAGAAGTACCATATCTCTATATTTCTGCTTGAATTATCACACATATTATACAGTATTATATAGAACAACCATTTTAATTACCAATCTGGTACATTGTATTTCTTCTATGGCAGTTGGCTTTAATTTTTTGTTTAATTGTCTTTCTAGCTAATTTTTGTCTACATGTAGTTCAAATTTTTTTTTATTTTTAATAAATATGTTAAAATGTCAAAAAAACTGCTATATCTTAAATTTTTTTTAAGTGATGAGAGTTTTTTTTTGTTAGACCCAGTACACACTTGTGAAGTTTCAAATGCACAAGTTTCAAATACACTCTTTGGGTGTTTAAGGAAATAAAACTTACAAGCAAAATCTTCTCCAGGAATTTTAAGTGTCCACAAACGGGGAACAATTCAGTAAATATCAAAGTTAGAGTTATGATCCTTTGAGAGTGTCCTAAATTCCTAATTGATGATCATGAAGACATGTTTTTAGTTTCAAGAGAGTGCCTTTGGCTGTTAACTAAATGTAAAGTTGCATGCAAAACATTGACTAGGTGTTACACGAACACTGATGCCGGTGTCAGTAGGACAGTCCCATAATTAAGTCAAGATTTTACCTGTGCCAGGGAAGAAATAGTTGCCATATTTATGGAAAGAGACAGTCATTACTCTGTCAGTGAGATAAAATGCCTCCTGTACACCATCACCATGGTGTATATCTATGTCAATATACAGAACACGTGGGTGATATCTAAAAAGTAATGAGAACAATTTTCATACAACAAAATTCAAATCCAACTTTATCATATCTGAATCAAATATGTTAGTATAGACAATCAAAATTGATACACCTCAACTAGACTAACAAAACAACCAATTTTGATCTTTGACATTTAAAAACAGAAAATGTGTAAGCGGCTGGATAGCTCAGTCCATACCTCGGTATTTCAAGGGTTCTAGGTACAAGTCCCAGTCAGGCTTTACATTTTTCAAACCTTGTGATAATAATATTATTGAATCATGAATGATATACTTGTATGAGGAAATATATATAATTACCAAAGTAATAAAATACAACAAAGGCATATGAGTGAAGAACAAATAACATTGTTCAAGTAAGTTAAGACTGGGAGTAATTTGATTAAACATGAAATTCATATTTCAGTATTAAAGTCCTCTGCTGACACACCTGAATATAGCACATGGCCATCTGAATGATTCCTATCATTTTGGAAACCATTTAGCATTTGTACTTACAAATTTTGTAAAACAGCTTAATATTTTCACTTTCAAGGTTGTAATCCTATACTTTTTAAGTACATTGTAGTCCTGGGTAAATTAGTTAGAAATATGTTCATAGGACACAAGTGCTCCCACATTCCACAGTTTTGAAAGGTAAGAAGGGTCCATCCACCCTTCAGGCACCGAGAGTACGGACCCCAGACATGTCACCAATCATGTCCTTAAATAGTATTAAGTTGCCAAATGATGACCTATTAATTCTGAATCCAGTAATTTACTGAATGTGACTAAATATATGTTATTTTTTCTACCAGTATTTTTGTTTCATATACATGTATATAATAATGTACATCATACGATTCAAGGGAACTTTCAAACAAAAAAATTATAGTAACTGTACTTACTTCAGTAGCTCTAGTATACCAATAACTATATCATTAACATAACAAAATCCTGATGCTTCAAATTTTTTGGCATGATGTAAACCTCCAGACCAGTTCACTGCTATATCACAATCCTGAAAAAATTTAACAGTCACCGATATAGACCTACATTTTCAAACATACATTTTTATGGTTCAATTCAATTTTTTCAAATGTTAATAAACTCTTATCCATCAGTGTTAGGTAAATGAGGTAGAAGTCAAAATGACCATTCAAATTAAGATTAATTAATTGACGACTTGAGTTAAATCTCTGACATTCAAAAGCTATAGTGGGTATAATATAAAAAGCATGACCTTGACCTTCAACATAATATTCTAAAAAAAAAATCCATCTGTCACATTGATAGAAATTCCTAGTCCCTACTACTATTCAAATGTTGCTATGTGAACACCCAGACATGATTTAAGTGTAAAAGAGTTAAAAAGCAACTAAAAATGGGTCCAGACTGTCCTAAAGGCATGTTTGCCCCAACATTCTACTTTTTTCTGTCTACTGATAGACTGATGGTGTCATCCAGACAAATAAACATGCACAAGAGCAAATCTATATCTCCCCCCCCCCCCCCAAATGAAGTCATAAATATACACATATATACTGAACCAAAAAAGAAACTTTCGCAAAGTATGTGCCAGTTGTTCAAGGGTACCACTTAGATATACACATTTATATATATGTAGTAGCTTGTAAAACTCATTTTGTTTACAAAATCGGTCAGTTAATCCCCGTATAAAAGCCTGATATGTTTATTCAACATAAAAATCGAGTTTCAAAAGGATTGAAAAACTGTACTTACATATCTACATTCAAACTTGGAGAAAGTTTCTTTTTTGTTTCAGTATAGCTTATTGAACAATTTAATGTACCTGATTTTCAAACTTACATTATTATTTAATTTGACAGCTCCTTCTAGTGTGGCTCCAGTATACATTGAACAAAAGTCATATATCCCATCAAATACTGGGCTGAAAATACAGTCATGAAATGAACATTTAAAGTTAAACAGTATGTAAAATTAAAATTGCAGAGATATAAAAGTTGTATTTCCAAAAATTCTCATAGGGCTTGATATTAGTTTGTATATGTATTTTAGAATTAACATGCCGTCTGTTACACAATGAGCAGAAATTAAACATACCTCTAAAGGGACTAACATTCATTGAAAATTAATATTGATTTGATTTGTTTGGTTTTAAGTCACATTGACATTGTAAAGGTCACATGAAGATTTTCCAGCTTTACTGGTGGAGGAGGTCTCAGCTACCTCTTTGTACATTATTCCTAGCTGGATAGCTTCCTGACATGTTAAAAACTAAAATCCCTGATGGGTTTCAAATCCACTGCAGTGAGATACACAAGTCACTTTAGTGATTTAAAAGTCCACAACCTTGACCATTCTGTTATAGAGGCCCCTAATTCATCCCTCCAAGAAAAGGGAAGAAGTTTTGAAATTTAGAGAGAAAGGATGCTATCTTTGTATATATATAAATATACTTCTGACACAATTGAAATTGAATACTTGTTATGTGTTTAAATAGTTTGGACAAGTTCAAGTACTTATAATCATATGTATCTATAAACAATTAGAAAGTTTAAATAATTTCTTACCAATCATCTCCCACATTAAACATACTGAGCTGCTTGGTAAAGTTCTGTACATTCTGTGGAGACACTCTCATTAGAAAGTCAATGTAATCTTCCGAATGAAATCTACACATGTCATGAACGGAGGCCCTGTATGGACGATACACTTGCATCTTCTTGTGTAGATTATAGTGCATGACTAGACAGTGTGTTAATGCAATCCTCTGTGGCTTCATGGGATGCCCTGGACCTGTAAAAATTCATGTATCACATGTATATATAAGAAGCACAGTATTGATCATAAAAAAAAAAACAAGAGGGCCATGATGGCCCTGAGGTCGCTCACCTGTATATAGGCCCCCGGAGCGGGGCCAGTTTAAACCACAGGGCTTTTTTTTTAGCAAACTTGGAAGACACCCATTAGAAGATGTTTCATGATGTTAAGTTTTTACTACACACATATAATGAAAAACAATGACCAACAAAAAGATGTTTCCTGCTTAAAATCTAACCTCTAGCTCATTGGGTTTTTTAAAAGAAGATTTTTTAAGTTTTTACTATACACATATAGTTAAAAACAATGACACCTCTGGGGCGGGGCCAGTTTTAACCCCAGGGCTTTTATTTGAACAAACTTTGTAGACACTTACTAGAAGATGTTTCATTCTTAATATCTAAACTCTAGCTATTTGGGTTTTTTCAAAGAAGATTTTTAAGTTTTTGCCATACACATATAAGGAAAATCAATGACCCCCGGGGCGGGGCCAATTTTGACCCCAGGGCTTTTATTTGAACAAACTTTGTAGACACCCATTAGAACATGTTTCATGCTAAATATCTTAGCTCTAGCTCTTTGGGTTCTTTAAAAGAAGATTTTTTAAGTTTTTACTATATGCATATAGGGAAAATCAATGACCCCCTGGGGCGGGGCCAATTTTGACCCCAGGGCTTTTATTTGAACAAACTTTGTAGACACTCACTAGAAGATGTTTCATGCTTAATATCTAAACTCTAGCTATATGGGTTTTTTCAAAGAAGATTTTTTAAGTTTTTGCTATACACATATAAGGAAAATCAATGACCCCCGGGGCGGGGCCAATTTTGACCCCAGGGCTTTTATTTGAACAAACTTTGTAGACACCCATTAGAACATGTTTCATGCTAAATATCTTAGCTCTAGCTCTTTGGGTTCTTTAAAAGAAGATTTTTTAAGTTTTTACTATATGCATATAGGGAATATCAATGACCCCCTGGGGCGGGGCCAATTTTGACCCCAGGGCTTTTATTTGAACAAACTTTGTAGACACTCACTAGAAGATGTTTCATGCTTAATATCTAAACTCTAGCTATTTGGGTTTTTTCAAAGAAGATTTTTTAAGTTTTTGCTATACACATATAAGGAAAATCAATGACCCCCGGGGCGGGGCCAATTTTGACCCCAGGGCTTTTATTTGAACAAACTTGGTAGACACCCATTAGAAGATGTTTCATGCTAAATATCTAAGCTCTAGCTCTTTGGGTTTTTTAAAAGAAGATATTTTAAGTTTTTTCTATCGGTTGCCATGGCAACCAGAGTTCTGCATGGAACTAAATTCTTTGAACAATTTTTAAAGGTGACCACCAAAGGAACATTCCTGTGGAGTTTGGATGAAATTGGCTTAGTGGTTTATGAGGAGATGTCATTTAAAGTAAAAGTTTACGGCCGGACGGACGCCGGACGGTCGCCGGACGAAAAGTGATCACAAAAGCTCACCCTGTCACTTTGTGACAGGTGAGCTAAAAACAGCAAAAGGGCTATCAAAACCATGGAGTCTCTTGGTTATCAGTTTAACACCTACAAAATGCTTTAAACGACTTAAAATTATAAGAAGAGTTAATTAAAGGACCATAATAGCCTTTAATGCTCATTTGAATAAAAACTGCAAAGTTATCAGCCCATTTATATTTAGTAACAAAATTGCCTGTGATTTCAACTGATTATGTCAGAGTGTCACATAACCGATTATGAGTTTGGGGCCTGGTATTGAAAACTTATAATCATAATTATATATAGTAACAAAATTGCCTATGATTTCATCTGATTATGTCAGAGACTGAGTGTCACATACATGTAACTGATTGAGTTTGCGGCCTGGGAGTGGGAATGAAGACCTATAATCATAATTGGCCCGCTGAACACGAGACGGAGTATGTGCACATACTGAACAATGACGTCACATTTTATGTCATCAAAACAGCTAGCTGTAAATGTGAATTAGGTTTTAAGCATGATTCCCTTGAATTTATGATGAGAACTTAATTGTATTTTGTACAAACACAGTTTTATTGAAGTTTTAAGAAAAAATACTACAAAAACGTTAAAAATCGTTACATTTGGATACATTTGAAAAGAGTCTTCGTACCGAAACCAAGAGCCTATCATGCCTATGCCTATGGAGAAACAGTGCTGGAGGACGGCGGCACGAAATACCCAAATATAGCAATATTTATTTTTGTTGGTATAAAATATAGATTATAATGAGAAATAAATAAATATTTATAAAATAAGTTAACCTGCTATAACTTTCACTCATTCCGTTGAAATGGGCAGTTAAGATGTTGTAAGAAAATAAAGTTGTGACATTTGCTTATCTACTATATAGGTTCTTTATGAATGTACTTGCAATTTTAAATCAAGATAAAATATTTGTTGTCTACACTTATACTTTTAAGGTGTAATTTTGTTGAAATTTCATATCATATACAAGTGTCCATGTTATTTAAAAAAAAATAGCTTTAATGGAGTACATATACTGTATTTTGGTTGAAAACACAATGATAGGAAAATCTATATTTGGGTATGTTTGATTATATCTTAGTGAAAGTGTATTATATTGTATTTATGATTAAAACAGGGAAAAGAGTCAACTCAGCCCTATAACAACTCAGCACGGGTCAACTCGGCCCAATTTACAAATATATATATAACGTATTAACTTTGCTTTGCATGTTGTTAATATAAATGAATAATAAGAAATATATTATTATTATATAATTATAAATTCTACTTCTGCCGAAATAAAATATAGTTAGAAAAAAATTGTTATTTATATGTCTTATATTTATAAACTCTCTCTGTCGATTTACGTAAATAGCCGAGGTATATCGAGTGAAAAAGCAAGAGTTGTTTCCCTTAGTTTCCCTATGTTTGCAAAAGAATGCAAATTTAGCCGTGTTTAAATTGCTAGTTTGGGGCGATTACATGTCCGATTTTAAAATTTGTTACACAAATTAAAAGCTGGTGATCTTAGCTTCCTCTCAGTATATATTTCAACACAATGTTTGACACTGAAGGTATTTAAAATAACAGTTAAACCTACCACGAGTCAGAAATACAGTGAGATACGCAATCGGTTATCTTTACTGGCAATTCTATTGATAAGAAAAGCCTGTCTGCTGCTAGTCCAACTAATTAGACTTGTCAAAGAGACACCGAGATAATTTTGGACGGGCGCTGTCTTTTTCCAAGTCCAACCACGAACTGCATTTTTATGCACGGACGCTTCCCAATTAGAAGTTGTTGGGAGCGAAAACTAGAAAAGTTTCAAAGAAACGGTCTACATTACCTGAAAGAGAATCGTTTTTTATGCAAGGTTCCAAATTATCATACTTCAAAGTCGAACAGAAGTCTAAATATTCCACTTTAATTTTTTAATCCTTGAAAATTATTGAAAGCGGCCATATTGGAAAGCGGTGTCATGGTAAAATTGTAAATTCCATGGTGTAACACAGGTATCCGCGGCAATCGACTGTATTTGCCAAGCTTTATTATACAATTTGTTTATGTTATTTATATGAATTATTGCAGGAATAACTCTTTTATTCACACACAAATATTTCAGCATTAAAAAGAGAATGTGTAAAGGAAATAATGATAACCTTACTTAGAAATTAAATAGTTTATGATGTCCGATGTCAGATCATACTGCATTTAAGTCCGTTTAAATTGTCAAATTAGATATTATTTAGTTGGATTTTTTAACATCTGTGATCATTAGGTGAAATTTCTGAACTACCTTTTTATTTTATAGCCCTGCCATGATTTCTCACATACGAAAATACAATGTAATTGTAATAAATCTTAATGAATTATAATTATACTATACATAATGAAGCAAAGAAGAATTTCAATTTATATTACACTCCATATCAATTTCTAGTTGTTTTATCTTTAAAAGAAATTGAGGACGGTTGTGTAGGGGAAGAAGTTCAAAACAACCAAAAATAATCTTAAAATTCTGAAGAAAAAAATCTTAAAATTTCAAACTATAAAATGGAATTTCAGACAGTCCTCAGTAAAATACAATTGTCGCACAGATATGACGGGGTTTATGATAAAAACGCAGCAAGTGGAAAATTAGTGACCGTTATTTAGACGTTGAATAGCATAACAATGAAAGACAGATGGGAGAAATGTTAGAACGACTGTCGCAAAAGGACACCAAAACCTCTGATAAATTTAAAATTCCATGTTATCTAGTTCCCGCTTTTCATTGAACAGCACCTCGAATGTGTCACATTGAAAGTTCCATGATTACCGCTGTATTATGTACACATCTGTGGATGTTGATTAAAAATTTCAACATTATTATGTTTAAGTGATCAATTCTGTTTAAACCGGCGAAAGGGAGCACTTGCACCTACCAGAGCCGTCTTTGGCACTCATGTGTATTTATGTTTCGATTTTGCAGTTTCAGGCGTTTTTGGTAGGTTTTTTTTTTTTGGAGGGTGGATACATGTATGTGGATAAGTTTTTTCTGTTTAATTTACATTTCTTTGCTTGCTTGCCGAACCTTGTATTGATAATCATTATCTGTTTGTTACGGTTCGGTATACATGTATACAATATGATAAACAAGCAATTATCATAGTATTGCAAGCAATCCATAAGTCCCCTACCGGTTAGAACCCCATCAACATTCTGAAGGGCCATTGGCCATTCACTAATGTTTCAATTTTTCTCTATTTCAAGTAAATTTGTTGGAAAAGTTCTTTAAAAGTGATCACAGGAAACAGTTTTTATGAACAGACAGACAGACGGACTGAAGGACACTCTAAAGTTAATATTTGAAACATACCTGTTACCAAAATATAACATTTTAAAAGCAAAATTCTTAAAGAGGAGATAACTCTTGAATTAAAGATGCAATTTCATAAAAATGTTCAGCTCTTTTCGACTAATCACAAATATTGTTATATTTGCCATGTTTTAAGCCTATTTGTTACCAAGGCAACTGATATTTTTTCAAAATAGGAAGAACAGATAAGGCATGCATAATCTCAAGACTGCTATCTACCCATATGTCAAGTTTCATAAAAATATTTCCAGTACTTTTTGAGTTATCACTGGATTCAGTTTATGTGTAAAATTTGCCATATTTTCAGTCTATGTGTTGCCATAGCAACCAGAATTTTCAACAAAGGAAGAAAAGAAAAAGACGTGCATAATCTCAAGACTGCCATCTACCCATATGTCAAGTTTCATAAAAATATTTCCAATACTTTTTGAGTTATCACTGGATCCAGTTTATGTGTAAAATTTGCCATATTTTCAGCCTATTTGTTGCCATAGCAACCAGAATTTTCAACATAGGAAGAAAAGAAAAAGACGTGCATAATCTCCATACTGCCATCTATCCATATACCAAGTTTCATAAAAATATTTTCAGTACTTTTCAAGTTATCGCGGGATCCAGTTTTGTGGACGGACGGACTGACGGACGTCCGGCCGAAATGGAATAAGGGGCCATTTCTTTTGTTATTTTCTATTGTTTAATAGAGGGCCAATGGCCCCTTACTCTATTGTTACGGAATGAACTCTATTGTTCTCTTTTGTTCTGTTTACAGTTAGATGGCCCCCTATCCCTATTCGGTAGTGCGGACGGACAGACAGACGGACGGACAGACAGACGGAGGGTAAACCTAAAGTCCCCTCCGGTAAACCGGTAGGGGACTAACAAGATGAACGACGTTCAATGAACGCAACCCCCACACGACCCAGGAACAAGAACCATTGGCAAGGAACCCAAGAGGATCCTAAATTAAAACGGGACAGGGCGCAATGGAGAGCACGGTCAGGCTTATCACTAAAATGTAACTGAGAAGGAAATCAAAGAAAATAAATAAATGAATGATTAATAGGACCACTAAGTTAACGGGCACAGGGGAAGGGGATAGGAAATTCGGGAAGGGGGAGGGGGCGAAATAAAGAAATAAAACTAGGGGCAAAGGGAAGATACTTACCAAAGACGAGAAAACAACAAGGGACACAAACAAAAGTGTCACCAAAACAGTATGAAACAGGACCACTAAGTTAACGGGCACAGGGGAAGGGGATAGGAAATTCGGGGGAAGGGACGAAATAAAGAAATAAAACTAGGGGCAAAGGGAAGATACTTACCATAGACGAGAAAACAACAAGGGACACAAACAAAAGTGTACACCTTGTACATTTATAAGTCTCTTAATCTATTCATTTGAAAATTCTGATCTTCTCAATGACTTTTTTTAATATCCTCTACTTAAAATTTATTTCAATTAAAACATGTGACCCTTCCTTTATAGTTACACAGCATATGGCTGGATCACAATAAAGTTCCTTTTTAGTAAATTAATAAAGTATGTCAAGAAGACATTTAACTTTATCAATAGGTTTAATATGGTATTAAATATCGGCAATCGGTGAAAAAGAGCTCTTGAAATATTATTTGTACAAATACTGAATAATTTGAAGTGTATTTCAAATACTTTCCTTCAATATTTTTTTTACGTTCTTAATTGTCATATAAATATGCATGTATAAATGAAGTCAGTATTTTATCCGAGAGTGACATTTGGCAGTCATTAGCAGTAAACAAGAAGGCAAACCACCAATTGATAAATGTTGAGTACATGTATTAAAATATTTAAAAAATATTAAACAACAGTACTTGTACGGAGCCTATTTGCGACCATTGCATTTTAGGTTAAATACAATGATACTTTTCAATAGTATTTAATAATGCACACATTTATTAAAAAATAATAAAATAGATTTATTTCCCCCGATAATTTTTTTAATTTAATCTTCATGCGTAACCCACACTTACCTGCTAGACACACTGGTAGCTACTACCAGCTTTCACGGAATCGATTTTTTACGATGACGTCATAACATGTCCGCCAAAGATAGAGTAAACAGTACAAATTTGAAATAAATCGCATGTATGCGTTAAGACAGGTACAATCTTATATTTTTTCTAGGAGAAGTTAGTACTAGAATTTATATTCTATTGATCTGTAGAGGACATTGAAGTTACTTTTAGGTTAAAGCAGTAAAAATCAGTCCAAACTATCGATAGTGTTGCCGGTAGACTTTCCGTGCGTAAAAATGACAGCTAAAATTTGGCCTAACGGTTTGACAGTAATAAAAAAAGTCTGTAAAATGGGTCAAACCGTTCACGCCAAATTAATAAGGCTAGTCTGCTGCTAGTTCTGAAACTGTCAATCCGTGTTTTATAAATAATTACAACAATAACAATAAGTAATGATAACACAAACCTTTATATTAATTATTAAAAAGTGGGCCGAGTTGACCTGTGCCGAGTTGGAATAGGGCCGAGCTGACTCAGGGCCGAGTGCGTTTTAGGGCCGAGCTGACCCGGATTCTTAAAACAGCACTTTTTTAGTATAAAACATTTGTTTTAAGTATAATTGGGCAATATTTGGGTATATACAGGCAATATTTGATTATATTTGGGCAATAGTTGTGTATATTTGAGTGTATTTGGGTATTTCGTGCTGCCCCTAGAGGAAAGTCATTATCGAACATAAATTTCAAGTGGCAAGATAGATCTTTGCAGATATGAGAAGATTAAAAGAATCGTACCATAGTGGAAATTTCCAACATCTGGATCATATGAGTACGCAACGACAGGTGACGACGGCATTCTTGCTTTAAATGTTTGAAAAACAACAGTTTTCACAAAAATATAATGAGCACAAATCAGCGACCGATAGTGGCGACCCTTAACCCAGCGACCGATAGACGTTATTGAGATTATGCTGAGTTACCACCTGAGTTACCCCGCTTGAGTTAACGGTGTAACCGGTGAAGAGGTTAAATAATTCCTATTATTTATAAACATGAAAATGATCCTAGACGAGAAAGAATGGCCCTCTTTGGCCAAGGCATGTTTGGTAAAGAGTTGAATTACATAATTGAAATCACTTAAATTTTAAATTATCATATTTGCAGTCTCATGTACAGTATTTTTTTTAATAGATCTATGTGAAGAAATGTGTTTTTTTAATAGAAATGGAAACTAGGCTTGAGTTTGTCTAGATCATCTTGTAACATAGTGCAACCTGTAAATATTTTGCATGCTAGGATTTAATTGAATATAGGTAGGAAGTGTCTCCTTGTCTGGTACTTGTCTGGTCCCTGGAATTTTATTGAGTGAACCAGACTTGGAGACTGTGAGTGTATACTTGTCAGATTCAACTGGACAGAGACAAAGGGGGGATTTTGTTGCCAAGCCCGGGCTCTGTTGACGGTACCATATGTAAAATTTTTTTGTTACAATAAAAAATTTTATTATTTTTTAAATATTTGCTTGACCTAAGAAAGAAGGAAGGCAGTGTATTTAAGGTAAATGTTATTATGAATGAGTATTAATTATTATACTTTTTACTTTGATGAAATGTGACTCCATAAAAGTGGGTATAGGTTAGTAGTACTATACAATAGCTACAAAATGAGACCAAATTTGAAGTCCTAGCATGACCTGGATGAAAGTAACAGTTGGTCACAATATCACTTTAACATGAAAATATAGACAAAAGGCCGCCCCTGTCAGTATGACACAAAATAGACAGAGATCAAAGAAATGTGACCCCATAAAAGTGGGTATAGGTAAGTAGTTCTATACAATAGCTACAAAATGAGACCAAATTTGAAGTCCTAGCATGACCTGGATGAAAGTAACAGTTGGTCACAATATTAAATTTCCATGATAATATAGAGAAAAGGAAGTCCCTGTCCGAATGACACAAAAGAGACAGAGAACAAAGAAATGTGACCCCATGAAAGTGGGTATAGGTAAGTATTACTATACAATAGCTACAAAATGAGACCAAATTTGAAGTCCTAGCATGACCTGGAAGGAACTTACACTTTGTCCCAATATCACTGTAACATGAAAATATAGACAAAAGGCCACCCCTGTCAGTATGACACAAAATAAACAGAGAACACAGAAATGTGACCCCATGAAAGTGGGTATAGGTTAGTAGTTCTATACAATAACTACAAAATGAGACCAAATTTGAAGTTCTAGCATGACCTGGATGAAAGTGACAGTTGGTCACAATATCAAATTTCCATGATAATATAGAGAAAAGGACGTCCCTGTCTGAATGACACAAAATAGACAGAGAACAAAGAAATGTGACCCCATAAAAGTGGGTATAGGTAAGTAGTTCTATACAATAGCTACAAAATGAGACCAAATTTGAAGTCCTAGCATGACCTGGATGAAAGTGACAGTTGGTCACAATATCAAATTTCCATGATAATATAGAGGAAAGGAAGTTCCTGTCTGAATGACACAACATAGACACAGAACAAAGAAATGTGACCCATAAATTT